CATGAGTGCTTATGAATATGATTTGAGCATTGGATTAAACCCACGCTCACTTGGATCACTCCATGAATTGTATTACGAGTGATTGGTGAGACGATAACATCTTATATTCTTGAAACCGAGATGTGTGAGTTGTATCTTGCTAATCGGTTGCACATTGATAATATGTAAACGCACTAGTAACTTGGTGTTATAAAACATATTGTTGTGTGTGATTCGGTGAGTGAGTGCAAGCAAGCATTGTATCAAAGTTTATCCGTTCCTTTTATCCAAAGAAGGATAAAAGCGATATCTTTTGGGCCCCTCGATGGTTTAGTGATGACAAACGTAAATGCTCGGCCGGGCTAGGGCTAATTTGATTTGTTCAATTAGTCTGTCGTCATAAATCGGAAATCGAGATATAGTACAAAGAGAATGATTTAAAATCATATCTCATACGATATCTAGAATGGAGGAATATATGATCCCTTATCTAAGGACACGCGTATCTGATAGGATCAGAGTTGACAGCGGCTTTGGAAAGCTACGATTGCAGATCAGGATCTGAAGTCATACGCATAATAGTTATTAGACTTATCCAAGTGGGAGACTGTTGGATTAGTGTCTAAGTCCATAACTATTTTGGTATGTACTTGACCCGATGGTGCATGGTCCTTTTGGGTTGCCTTCACCAAAGCAACTTGATTGGAGAAATAAATAAAGAGAGAGAGAGGTTATTATGATTTATTAATATGTTATAAGAATAATATATTAAAGGAGAAATCATATTTGTTTAATTAATATTGGTCAATAATTAATTAGGAATTAATTTTGTGATCAAGTGTAATTAATTAAACTAGAGGGGCTGATTTGTAATTATGTGATAGTTACAAAATAAGGTAAGGATTATCTTAAATATATGGTGAACGAATTTGAGGTGATAAGGCCTTAGAATTCGACTATGATAAGGATTCAAGGATTATCTTATGGGTTGCTTTGTGGATAAGCAACTAGATAAGGATAATGACTGAAACCCTATCTCTACACCTATATAAACACCCCTTGGCTGATGAATTCGTGTATCTCTTCCCAAGGAGTCCTAAGGACGAATTCTAACCTCTCTCCTCTCTCTTTATACCTTCTCTATTTGCTCTTAGTGTTTGTAAGCCATTAGAGGAGTGACACTTGTGACTCTAAGCATTCCAAAGTCATTACAAGGAGTTTTGGGATTGTTATTGCTACATAACAATCAAGGTATGATCTTAAACCTAATTACATATTAATATGATTACTTGAATGCTAGAATTAGGGTTTATAGTCTTGGATTCAAAGCATGTACAATAGAGAAACCTAGATCCAAGCATTAGGGTTTGTATGAGCACATAGGATGTCTTATGACCAAAACCCATCATGTATGTCGTTTGGTGTGTTTGTGTGTACGTTTCCTTTATGATGGGTTGTTTATTGGATGATTTGGTCGAAGAAAAGTCAAGGAAAACTACCACCACCACCGTAAAGTGGTGGCTGCCGCCGTGAGCTGTCGTCGACCCCCACCGCCCGATATGGCAGTGGGTGGTGCTCGACATAATGAAACCCGAATCATCCCTATAGTTTGATCTTGGACTTCATTGACTTGTGTTTGGGTTGTAAACCCTAATTAGGGTTTAGAAAACCCTAATTTTGGAAATGATAGTTTGGGATTTGCTGGGACCCTAGTTTGGACTATTAGATTGGAATTTTGAATTATGTCCGACTACATTGTATGAATGGCCTAGTGGAGTGATGAACTTAATGGGTTAAGTAAGAACACTTAACCTTAATCGTCATTTTATGTGAAAACCCAAATTATGATTGGGCTTCAAGTTGGGCCTTTATTTTGGGCTTACGTGTTTGGATTCATCTTGGGTCATCTGACAGCAAGTATATGGACTACTATATTTGGATGGGCCTTAGGGTAAGGCCTATGTATTGGGTTTGTGCCCAATTTGGAAAACTGGTCTACCATTGGGCCTTAGTTGATTATGTGACTTTTGAGCCTTCAGAGTATGAGTTGGGCCTTGGTCTTGGACCAAGCTATGTTAGGGGTAAAATGGTGCTTTTACCCCCAAGTGTGGATTTATGGTTATACATTGAAACCCAAATGGTTAATTAGGTTTTGTTTTGATGATTAACAGTTTGGGAATCTATCAGCCAGTAGCCAGGGATTTATGCGTAGGACTTCAGCAGTGCGAGGTGAGTTCCACCTGGTCTGAACAGGTCAAAGGCACCAATGTCGGCTTGTGTAGTTTGTATGTTCTTGATAGGAACATGGAGTGTGGGCGGGGCATGTATCTCATTATTACCCGAGTATAGATATCAGTCAGATTGTTGGATTGCTATACTTGTCTGTGTGATACCTGTATGTGTTGTTAGGAATGTGAGTGTGGGCGAGGTCCATATCCCATAGTCAGTAAAGTGTGGCGGGGCCTGTATCTCCTAGTTAGTTGAGTGTATGTAGGGCCCGTATCTTATAGAGTGTGGGCGAGGCCTGTATCTTATTATTAGCTGAGTGTGGGCGGGGACCATATCTCATAGTATTATTTGAGTATGTATATAGGATTCGTTGATAGATTTGGCTATACTTGTTGTATGTGTGATACTTGTATGTATGTTTAGTAGTTGAGTGTGGGTGGGGCCCGTATCTCATAGTTAGCCAAGTGTGAGATGGGCATGTATCTCGTAGTTAGCCGAGTGTGGGCGGGGCCCGTATCTCATAGTCAGCGGAGTGTGGGCGGGGTCCGTATCTCCTTGAGTGTAGGTGGGGCCCGTATGTTCTAGTAGCATGATTATGTGTATGGTATGTGGTAGTTTGGGGAAACTCACTAATCTCAGTGCTTATAGTTTTCAGTTTTGGTTTCAAGTACTTTCGGTAGCAAGGGGAAGAGCTCGGGATGATTGCAGTGCACACACCATTTGTTTAGCCTAAGATGTTTATACTGTGATATATACGAAAAATGTTTATGATATTTGAGTTACACAACTTATGATTTATATATGATGTTTGATAGTTTTCTTAATGATTTTAAAATGAAAATTTTGGACTGAATTTTTGGAATGTTTCATAATCCCATTAAATCAGCAAAATATTTGAGAGTCAAAATTAAAGTTAATATTATTCATAATTTATCTCCCAGTATATCCCACGTAAAATAAATCAATTTGAGATGATGGTTTGAATTTTAAAACGCATTAAATAAGTAAGTCAATTAATTTGAAATTTTGAATCAATATAACTGATATCTTTTTTTCCTGATGAATAGCCGAAAATCTCCCAGATGATATCTTAGAATCCCAATTTTTTGGAAAATAGTGATTTTCTTATTCAAAAACACCTTATATATATGATTACATTGAAGTTGTTATTCTTATGATTTTTGATTGATTCCTACGATTTATAGTGTTCTTCTTCAACAATTTTCTTCTCCCGTTCTTTTTTCTAGGTTCTTTCTTTACTATTCTCCTTCCACTACTAGAAAAAGGCCTTTTACGACGCGCAAACGACAATCGTTGATTTATGTTACGCAAAAGAGAGTGACATTAAAAAAGTGTCATCTCTTCAAAAAATGTAATAATAGAGGACACGCATTATTGCGTGCCCTTAAATTAGTGTCTAAACAAAAAAAAAACACGGAGGGCACCTATAATAATACGCGCGCCGTCTAAGGATGTCGCTTTATAATTTTTAATGGAACGCGCGTTCCATCCTTTAACAGTGGGGGGAAATGAAATTTTGAATAAATTAAAAACCCCGCCTTCCTTTTTTTTTTCTCCTTTCCTCTTGCCCAAATTATGGACGCTCTTTCCTTCCCCCTCCCGACATTGAATGCTGCCTACTTCTTCCCTCACTTACTTCTACCTACTAGAACCACCATATCTCTCACTCGATGTTGAAATTGTTAGAAAAAGCCCTAATTATACTCTCAAGTCTAAATATTAGGAATGCAAATGTTGATTCTCGTTTGTTTCAGATTCCCCAAAGATTAATCGAAAAACACATAGACGAAGAACTGTAACTTTGCTCCATTAACTTCCCGATTACATCTCGTCATCACCTTTGAAACTTCTGCGTTAGAGACCTAGGTAATGCTTTTATTTTTTCGTTTCTTCACATATCTTTTTCTAGTTTTGAATGATCTGGTGGCTCCTATGTAAAAATTTGGACCGTATCCAGCAAAAAAATTGGACATTTTGAATAGAAAGCGAATCTGAATCTAGCACTCTCGATATGATTATCAGGCTCAAAGGAGTGGGCGTCGTTAGGAAGGTCATCATGGGTCGCTAAGGGCGCTAAACACCTCCCGCTATCTTCCGCCAAAGGGGTTGCCAACCAAGTCTCGCCAGCAGCTTAACGAGAAGAGAGAGAGAGAGAGAGAGAGAGAGAGAGAGAAAGGAGTAAACATGTTCAAGCCTTCATAGTGGTAACTTCCATCCCTAAATCGATTTATGTTCATCTGTTTTTTTTTACTTCTCGATTTATTATGTTAATCCATTGTGCATCTCTATTGTTTATGTTTTTGTTCATATTTCAACGAATTATCAACTCCTATACTCCATTTTTTTTATTTATGTGTTTGATTTCTGCAATTTACCTTTGTCTTTCCATGGTTTTTAGACGAACACCAAGTGTTCGATGAAATTCCCCAGATATTATTAAGTCTTTAGCACCTCTTACATATGTTTTATGAAGTGAGAAATGCTTCATTTGATTATATTCACATGTATCTTTATTTTTTCAATATTTATCCCTTTAATTTCTCCTTTTTCTTTATATCGTGACTTCTAATTTGATAAGGGTTACCAAATATTGATGCATGTGAGGATCAATTCGATAATTTACAATTTATCTTCTTGGCCTTTGAGTTTCAGTAATACAAGCCCTAGAGTGCGACTAGCTCCTGTAAGAATATAATCTGGAAATTACCAAGGTACAGAAGATGAAAAAAATACAGATTAACAGGGGAGAACGGAAGTAGAACAGGGGACAAATGACTTTCTGGGAAAATTTCTTTGTTGGTACGCCTTATTAATAAAAACGAGAACGTGATGCCTTTCCTTTTGTTCCATGTTTGATGAGTTAGAAGAAATAAACTTGTAGGTATGGTCTGATTAGGATCCCAGACCCACGTTTGCTGAAATCTTCTAATATTATTTGTTGGTCTGGTTTTTTTAGCCCCTGTAATACAGTTTCTTTTTTACTACATGACATGGACTTCACGATTGTTGATCTGATTTTTTTAGTGTTGTATTACTATTTGCTGTTAGTGTTGTATTACTATTTGCTGAGGATATTTTTGTCATTTTCTTTTATTTCATGATTGTTTTTAACTATTACTATTGTTGCAGGTGGTCACTAGGTGCAATAATGTATGAGATGCTTGTTGGATAACCTCCATCTTATTCAGATGATCCGATAACTGGATGTAAAAAGCTATACCAAGCCACAACTGATTATTATTTTTATTTGCTGTATATTTATTATTTTGTTGGGTTCACAAAAAAGATCTAGGAAATGCGAAAACAACTATCTATTGGGTGACTGGTTATCTTCCAAAAGATATGCTTCAAGTGGTCATCATTTATGTTCATGTAAATCTGTATAAAGACGGTGCATTACATCATTTACAAGATCTTTGTCTATCTTCCATGGTTTTGACTGAAGTGATTTCTTTTAATAAGCACAATGTTAGACATGTTCGCTAGCATTTTTTTCAGTCTCTGCTTTGTGATTTTGCCTCACACTCTCACAGTATGAAAGTATAAATGATTTTTTTTTTTTTTGCCACTAACTTGAATGGAAAACAGGTGTTGGTTTAGATAAGCCAAACGAATGGGGATTTGATACTACACAGGTTGATAATATTCTCAAAAAGTTGAAAGTGGTAAGTTCTTCAATTTTCTTCACCTGAGCCTGTTCTCTCTCTTTTTTTAAGTTTATTAACATAAATTATCTTATTAATCAAAATTTCATGTATATTTTGACAGCAAGCAACACAAACAAAACATGATGAACGTATATATGCTTAAGTAACTAATTTGTAATCGTGATGAAGCTTTAGTATTTGTTAACTCATGATCCTTGTTTTCTTATCTCAGAGGATGATGATGAAGAAACAGGCTTACCAAAGGACAATAGTGAAAAAACTACACGTCCCCAAGGAAGGTCATTTTCTTGCTCAAAATCGAATTTAATTCTAAATTGTTCATTATATCCAAATTATTAATACATAGGTATATATTAATATATTATTAGATACAAGAAATGAAAAAGAAACATCCATTTACATACTATATATATATATATATATATATATATATATATATATATTATTAGATTAAGTTTTTTTTTTTTTTTTTTTTTTTTAACTTAATGGGCTTAATGGGTTAAGAACTTAATCTTGATTTATTCTACACAAAATGATTTGATGGGTTAAGCCAAAAAAAATTCAGGCTTAATGTATTAAAACACTAATTCTATGCTTGTTTTCCCTTGTTTTTTTCTTTCCTCCCAACTCTTCTTTAGAAAGGGTAAAATGATCATTTCATTTCATTAATTAGATGGTTTATTTAATCTAGAATAGAAACATACTCCCAACTCTTCTTTGGAAAGGGTATAATGTTTAAATAACAAATCAAACAATAACCAACTATATGATTTTGGGATCCTTCTGATATGTACCAGAGATTCTAAATCATCTTATCCAGAAGAACATTGAGTATTGCATGGAGGTAATTACTATAATGCCCTTTTCTTATATTTACTTTGAAAATGTTAATTCTTACCTTTTTTCTATGTAGGATCCACCAGGAGCAGGAAAAACACAAACAATTCTTAGGCTTCTTAGTGCCATATTACAAACCAGCTGAGTATATAAGTCTCTTAGTAACTTATGCAGGTAACAATATTGTTCATAGCTGGGCTGTTATTGTTCCTGTTTGTTTTCATTTATGCAGGTAACAATCTTGTTGAAAGGACTTATGAATCAGATATTAATGGTAACAAGTTTAACACTCGAGTCCATGCGATTAGATGTTAATGGTAACAAGTTTAACACATGTGTCTTTGTCATACATACAAATTAAATGCAATGGATTGTATTTTTTGTATATGGTATTTTATTTTATATTATGAAATGGATTGTATTTTTTGTATATGGTATTTTATTTCTATTAAGAGAGATTAAATGCAAATTTAATTTATAAATTAATAAATATATAAATATATATTTTTAAAAAAAAATTAAAATTACGATACGCAAAAAATGTGTGTTGTCTTCATTTATGACATGGCCTTTCTTGATTGGTGCTTCCTTGATACGCATTGTGTGTCATAAACACGCGCGTCGTAAGGTTACGACACGCGAATGCGTGTCGTCTTCCTTTATGACAGGGCCTTCCTTGATACGCAATGCGTGTCATAACCGCGCGTCGTAAATGCACGTCGTCTATAGACGACGCGCAAAAGCGCGTCATCTCTCTTTATGACAGGGCCTTCCTTGACACGAATTTGCGCGTCGTCTGAGCGTTTTACGACGCGCAATGAGCGTCGTAAAAGGCCTTTTTTCTAGTAGTGTTCTTCTTCTCCAATTTATCGCATTTACTCTATTCTTATTACCTGTTATTATTGTATTCATGTTGAGAGGTCATGAAAAAAATTAATCAATCTACTTTAAGCATATTAGTGTAACGGCCGGATTCGCTAGGTAAAACCATTGCATTAAACTTCCTTTTACCCTTGGACTAAACCGGAGTACGTTAAGCGTACACAAGGTACGCATGGCTTACTCCCATATATGGACAGATCGGGGGTGTCCCCTGCGTACGTTGGGCGTACCCATGCGTATGTGGGGCGTACGGGAGCCAGGGCAAACCCTGATTTTTAGGGTTTACACCCTATTTAAACACATTAAGCCATTCACCCTCTTTACCTTATCAACCCTCATTTCCTTTTATGCTAATCTTGAAACGCTTGCCACCTTGAAGAGCATTCTTGAGCTTACTAAGAGTTTTTGGGTGTTCCTTTTGTGATTTTGAAGAATAAGGAGGCTTGAGGAGAAGCAAAGGACATGAAGAAGCTTGTAGATCTAGAGGTTGTGCATCATTTCTATCCCATTGGAGGTATAAAGTCTGAAACTTGTTCATTCTAAGCTTAGATCTAGTTTAGGGAAGAACTTAGCATCTTTTGGTCCCATAGTTTGGTCTTATGGAGTATGGGCTACTCCGGACCATTTGAGATGTCCTTTTGGACGGGGTGCATGAAGTCATAAAAAATGTATATTGTAGGTTAAGACTTAACCATGCATGAGTTGGTAACCACATAAGGGAGATAAAAGGCTTAATCCATGATTTGAGTCCCATTAAGTCATGCAAAAGCATAAGGTTTGCAACTTTATGGATTCAGACACTTTTATGAGCTTGGATCTAAATTTTGGACATTAAAGCTTAATACGTTAAGACACTGGAACGTTTTTAGGCCAATTGACCAGTATGTCGGGCGTACTCCTAGGTACGTTGCGCGTACTGGGCCAGTGCCCCGATTCTGGATCAACAACATATGTTGGGCGTACGAGCCATGTACGTCACACATATGTAGTCTGTGGGCTTAAGGGATTTTGGGCTCGAGTTTTCCTGGTCTTTTTGCCTTGTTTAGGTTTGGGCCTCAGACTATTGGGCTGACATTGGGCCTTAGGGTCTTTTAGGTGGGCTTGGAATGCATTTTGGGCTAGTTTGGATTTGGGGGGATAGGCCCAATAAGGAAAGGGTTAAGCAACCATTTGCCTTAAAAGTCAAGATTTGGGGTTTGGACCCTCGGGTTGGGTTATTGACATAATTTCTAATTAGATTTTTATATTTGTGATTTAGAGAGAGGATTTTGCGAGTCAGCCGCTCGAGTGTGATTTGATACCTTCAATCTGAGGTGAGTTTCCTTCACTTTATTCGTGGGTCGAAGGCACCAATCTCAGCCCACTCGATTATGTTTGTAGTATGATGGTTGTCTTCGTGACAGTTATCCTTTATGCCTATATTTGCTTGATGTCCTTGTGACACTTTTTTAGTGGCAGGGGTGAAATAGACCCAATACTGGTTGAAAGGTACCGAAGGGGTTGAAAAAGACCCAATACCGGTTGAAAGGGACCGAAGGGTTTGAAATATATCTGGTACCAGTTGAAAGAGATCGAAAGGGCTGAAATATACCCAATACCGGTTGAAAGAAACTGAAGGGTATGCGAGCACGTGGATATGCTTTCTTGGGTCAAAAATATGATTTATACTTTACTTTTCTAGGCAATTATACTTTTTCAGTCTAGTTTATGGTTGTATTGGTGTTTACGACTGTGAACCCATTTGCGGTTGTTTGTCTCATATAAATAGTGCTAGTAGAGTCATAAGAGTGTGTAAGGCTAGGAGAGAGTGTACGGTCTAGATGAGCTTAAGTGTGTGTATTCTGAGGTGTTCTAGAGAGAGAAAAGAGAGAGAAGAACTAGTGTGTGTACTATGTGTATGAAGCATCATTCTATTCATTAAATACATCATAGATTCACTTATTCTTCTTCTCCTTCACTTTTATTTTGATCTGGCATCATCCGTTTGATTGGGATTCCACACCATCAAACGGATTTGATTGATACACAAGTGAATTAGGGACTTAGAAGTGGTATCAGATCTTGGATTGTATCAATAAATTTTTTCAGAGCTGGAGCGTATTTGATCTTATTTTTGAAGGATTTTTGCGTTTTTGGATAGATCTTGGCAAAATAGGGGGTTTGTTCTTCGCGTTTTTCATAAAAACGAGTATTTGATCGAGTTTTGGAGCAAAAAGAGGTGAAAGTTTTTCACGTCATCTGAAGCAGTGTTCATGGCACTTGAAGGGTTTACGATCGTAATCAGTGGCTAGGGTTTCTCGGCGGCAGCCGTAATGACAACCCGAAATTTCCATTTGTACGAACATTATCTATTCAATAGAAGCTAGTCCAGTTTCAGTAATTTTCAGACTTGTCCGAACAAGTTTGTGTACATTAGGGTTTGCGTTTCTGGATATATCAGGAGAGTGGATGCTCCTGTATTTGTGAAACTTGAACATTCCAAGATTCATAATGTTATAGTCCAACTTCCGGAATAAAAATATTTTCTATCAAAATATTTCAGGACTATAAATAGATTTCTGAATTTAATTAATTCATTCTTCACAATTCCAACTAGAGAAAAGCCATTTCTCTCTGACGAATCTTTGGGTTTTCATCCCGAATTGTGAGTCTACTTTCCTAAATGTGTTTTAATGCTTGTTATATGCTTTATAACATTGTTTACATGTCTAAAATACAAGATCCGGGAGCTTAAGGCCCAAGAACGTTCTTGGGGTGTAAATTCAAAACGAATCCTAAAGGCTTCCTAGTCCCGATTCCTTGTTAGACAACTTGTATAGGACTTATTGTATGATCTATTGAGGCTAGAAATCATCCAAAATCATAAGACTTTTGGAGTTTACGGCCCAAGAGTTTCTTGGACCGTAAACACCATTTTCAAGGGCCAAAGTGTGCCCTAATCACCCCTAAAGCTTAAGGAAATTACCCTCTAATGCTTGTAGTTAATTTGGACACCAAAACACTTCAAAATCATAGGGTTTTAGGAGTTTACGGCCAAGGAAGGATCTTGGGCCGTAAACCCCTTTTTCAAGGGTTAAAGATGCCCTAAACACCCTTAAAGCCTCAAGACAATTACCCTTAAATACTTAGGACTTGAATGGGGAACAAATGACATCAAAATCACCCCTTAAAGGGAGTTTACGGCCAAGGAACATATCTTGGGCCGTAAACTCCAAGTAAAAGCACAAATGTGTGCCTAATGTCCCCTTTAGACTTAGATAAAAACATGGAAGTTATCCTACATGTGCAAGGGCCTTAAATGAATTAAAACCAACACCCCATAGGAGTTTATGGCCGTAAACTCTAGGGCATATGGTCCTTTGTCCGTAAACTCCCCAAAGGAGCATTCCAAGGCCTTAAACTACTTCAAGAATTATTCCAACAAGGCTAGGCTTATTCTAGGATCAATATAACACTTCAAAACACCCAAAACCACCAAGTGAGGAGTTCACGGACGTAAACTCATGGGTTCACGGCCGTAAACTCCAAAAGGGTGGGGTTTGTTGGGTGGTGAACTCATATACAAGGTCATTGGTGCATTAAACCCCTTTTACCTTGTCCCGTATCAACTTAGATGCAACCATTAGGACCTATAACACCTATATAAAGTGTTTACATGTTCCTAAGTGTTTCAACTTACTTTGTTAAGTTATTATTTGGCTAATTAGTTATATATATGCTCATTATATGATAACTAGGCTCGAACGTGTGAACAAGTCTCCGTTTGCCACCTAGCACGGTACCCGATACATCAATCCAATCTACTCACCACAAGTGAGTTCATACCCCTTTAATCAACCTTTGAAATGCTTTTAAATGTTTTAAATACTTTATGGGGGGGGGATACAAGTTAAATACTTATAGTTATTGCATCAATCACATGTGATTGCATTAATCACATGTGATTAATAACTAGAAAACCAATGATTTTATCACTGTTCAAACTGTTTATCAAACTGTTTCACTTCAAAATGTTTTACAAACTCTTTTTACTTATCAAATGCTTTTATTAAACTTTGTTTTACTTCTTATAAATTGCATGCCCATATATGTATAGATATATAAGTAATGTTTAAAGGGATTAGGAAGGCCATCCACCCTATTTCCTTTTTGCGCACTGAGATGTGGTCTGGTGGGATTTCGGGTGACCATCCGAGGGTCGTTTCCATATTAGTTATATATCATATATACATGTATAGACATAAAAGTACTTCCATATTCATTTTTATCAATACATCAATAGCTAGTTACCATCGGGGTAATACAATACATATACAACTATACTAGAAACAATACATATACAACTATACTAGAAACGATACATATACAACTATACTAGAAACAATACATATACATCTAGACTAGAAACAATACATATACAACTATACTAGAAA